CGGCCAGATCTTCTAAGCGACCCTCATGGCCATGAACTCTTGATTCTCGATCACGGAAAGCGAGGCCTCCTCGTCCACAAAGGCTACCTAGGACTTGCTCGCTGACTTCTTCCTACCCATATACTAGCGGAAGCAATAAAAGCACTAAGGGAAGGTGATGCTCAGGCGGCGGCGCTCAGATGACGGTGACAATGGCAGCGGCGGAATGTTTGAGACTAGGGTTTCAAGGCAAAAGCAAGACAGTAAAGAAAAAGAAGAACAAAGGCCTTTAAATAGATTTTACAGCAGTAAAATGCGGCCCACCGGGCCTATTTTAACACGGCATGAGAACGCAACAGTCCATTTACTGACACAGCTAAAATGACAGACGGCACAAATCCACACAACGGTACAGTTCAACGGGCAGATTTCAGACTTATCCATCCAGCACCACAACGGAGTTATCATATTACTACAAAAAGAACCCATCAACCATGAAGCAACGAAGGGGTACCTCACAAGGAACATAAGAACCCAATTCTTATAGAAAGAACTCAGGAATCTCATAAACAACCAGGACTTCAGCAGAAAAAAGAATGACAACTCAGAAGATAGGATTCTTTCTATTACAAATGGCTTCAAAAAATAGAAGATTACACATCTTACAAGACCCAACGAACTCGGTAAGCAAGAGGAACCTGGAAACAACTAGGCTCTGGAATGACTATGTGTTCCAAATTGCTACTCGGTAGAACAAACCGCACTCGGTGACACTGTTTTCTTCAAAGGACGGACGCAGTGCATCCAAGGTGGAAATCAGCAGCACGACGGGACAACATAGACCAGGGGAAGTCGGCAGGTATCTGTCTACCCAAGTCTGATGTGATGCTAGATATGGTGTTGATCTGCACCGGACAGTCTCAGGGCAGACGACGAGGATCAACCCAGAACTGCTGGATGAAGGAACGTATCCCACATCACAAGACTTCCTCCAACTACCGCCACGTACTTCCAAGTACAATGCCATTGCGGGATTAGTCTACCTCTAATCCCTATCACAAGACTCCCTCCAGCTACGACAAGATACACAAGAACTACAAAATACGCCCGGGGGCTGCTCTACTTCACAAACTATCATATTCATGACTACGGAGATTTCAGACCATGCAACAAAACGCTCGATGAATCAAAACATCACACCAGGAGGGTATTTATAGACCAAAGAAGCGGTGCACATGGACTGGGAGCATCGATGGAACAAACCTAACAAAGGACACAGTGAAAAGATAGAATTCAATGAAAGAAGACTCAGGCGTGAAGGAGCAGTACTCAAGAACGAGCATATTCGGAAGAATATACCAACACTGTACAGCTCATGTCCAAACAGCATTTACTCTCAACTACCACCATACAACTACATCTCATAACAGCAGACTACTAGAGAACATGCCAAGATCCTATATCCGAGTTCTTTTCGAATAAAAGAACCCAGGTATAAGCTCAGGGGCTACAACAGGAGAGGTTTTCAGTCCTTTGAATAACTCAGATTCAAGACTCTCCAACTCTTTGTTCCAAATAGCAAGAGGCTCGGGGGCTACACTTAGTGAGTGCACTTTTTTCTCCAAAAAAACGCACATCACCAAGAAGACGTCTTCAAGATAGATCACTTCAAGACCTCACGACAAAAAGAACCTAGACCTAGCTATATCCGAGCTATTTTTGATAAAGAACCCGGGTATATGCTCAGGAACCCTCAAGAGAAGACCCTCCAGCTCCTTGTGCCAAAAAGCAAGAGGCTCGGGGGCTACACCCAAATGGGAGTACTTTTTTCTTCAAAAAGGTACACATCACGCGAAGATCTCATGAAGCGCTACACGGTTTCGCTCAAGAAAGCACTCGGACGACGCTTGTTCCTCGCTTCGGCAAGACACAAGGAACAAGATGAGGCTTCCAGCTCAACCATGAAGTGCTCGGTGGCTTGTCGGTGCGGGACCCATGGGATACCCCGCAAGGAAGGGAGAAGATCTAGTCTAATTAGGATTCTTCCTATGTAATCTTAGTAGTAGTATTATTCTGTAATCCTACTAGGAACTCTCATTGTAAACCGACTAGGATTCTAGCCTCCTGACTATATAAAGGAGGGCAGGGTTCCTAGAGGACGAGACAACACAACACTTCACAATCAATCCAACGCAAGGCTAACGCCGACTAGACGTAGGGCTATTACTCGATCAACGATCGAGGGTCCGAACCAGGATAAATCGACTGTCTCTTGCGTTCACCGTCGAAGTTCTGCATACGCCGAAGCCCAAACAAACTACCCCGAGTACCCCCGTGGCAGGCTATCGGTGGTAAAACATCGACAAGCAGCCCATCTAGCCTAGCCCACTTCTCTAGCACCCCCGAGCGCCATCCTCTCACTCTCACCAGAATAAACATCTATCTTTGTCCTGTTTCCAAATTGGAGTAGGATCTAGTACTATTGAGCTCCTTTTCTTGTCATGTAATTTATTTTGATTTGCTATGTTAACCTAATTGATGGCTTTTTGTGGTGGGGTACAATGGGACTTTGTTTTGATCTCGTGTCCAACTCGGAAGCATGTCCATCTTAATCATGTCCATGTAGATACAAAGGTGAGTTGTCAATGTTTTTTCTTCAATTACCAAGAACTTGTTGATCCATATGCCAAGTTCCTATACCTATGTCTACACTTGATATGAAACCTCTAAATTTGGAACATAAAGATTGTTTAAGTCTTTATGTTGTAGAAGAGCTTCATTTAGATCAAGCAAACTGGTGAACATTCTGGTGCTAGTGAGCTCATAATGATTATCATGATTTATGTTGTCATTTGCTTCATTAGCTATAGTGAAAGCTTTCGCTGTCTTGCGAGAACTACTACTTTCTGCAATAACATGTTCCTCTTCACTTGAAATTTCAATGGATGATCATGATTAATAAGAAGGCACTATAGATAGTAGCTTGCAAATACTTTCCTTTAGGTTCTTCTAGAATACCAGTGCATCATCCACTTTTGGGAATTTAACACGCTTTACTAATTTGTGGTAGTTCTATTACTCCAGGGCCTATTGGAGTGACATTATTTCTCTTTACTAGTTTGATGGATGTGTACTTCGTTTTCTTCTCCACAAAACATGTGACAAATAAAGAAGGAGAAATTGTGTCATGTCCCACTGTATTTCATAGCCTTTCTAGATATGTTTTCTTCATGAAAGGTGTGCAATTTACTTCTGCACAAAAGGTGTGTAATTTACTTCTTCATGAAAGGTGTATAATTTGTTTTTGTGATATTTTTTCTAGATATATTGGGCACATCTATGATGGTGATGCATGCAAACCACGAGATGTATCGCAATGGAGGAAGAATAACCCATCAAGATAGGCATGTGTTTTGACCAATGTGTCTCATACGCGCACGTGAAGTACGCATACTCATTGTAGTATGGTCAGTAGTAAACTCTCTTTCCTTTGTTTGCGAATGATAATCATTAGTCTACTCTTGCAGGCTGTAACATGCACACATTTTCATTCATGTGCTTATCTGCTAAATGCAGTGCCATTGTTATGGCTGTGATTGTCCTACTCCCTATGCCACATGGGGCAATCATTGTCATGCTATGGATAAGGATGCAAAGTGGAAGAGACTTAGGCAAACATTTAAAAACAAAAGCCAGCCAAAAGCCCAATATTTCAATCGCTCAATCACAACTAGACCATCATCACAGTATTCTACAAATGTGACTGGTTTTACTGGAAGATTTCCTATTTCAAGTATTGTGAACCAAATTCAACATGTGGATACCTCTATTATGGTTGCATAGAATATGGTGGGGGTATCAGTCTGTCGGGTACACCATCTCCTATGCCAAGAACTAAAATCCCGAGCTATGGATCCAAAGGTGCTCAGGTTGCTCCTCCACTTTATAAATATACATGGCATGTCAATATTGAATCCCTTAAAGTAATTCTTTATTTGGATTTAAATTTTTATGGTTTTGGATACACCCCATCTTCCTACCAACAGTGAGCGGCATCTTCTCACATTTCACCCGAATAAACATCCATTTTCGTCCTATTTCCAAATTGGAGGATGATCTAGAACTGATAAGCGCCTATTTTTATCATGTAATTTATTTCTATTTGCTATGTTAACCAAATTCACATCAAGCAAACCGTTGGACATTCTAGTGCTGGTGAGCTCATATTGATTATCATGATTTATGTTGTCATTTGCTTTGTAAGCTGCAGTGAAAGCTTTCCCTGCCATGCGAGAACTACTACTTTAAGCAATATTGTGTTCCCTCTTCACTTGAAAATTCAATGGATGATGATGGTTAAGAAGAAGCCACTACAGATAGTATCTTTCAAATACATTTTGGTTGGGTTCTTCCGGACACCGCTTCTTGCTACCAAGTACATCATTCACTTCAAAGAATTTAACACAATTTACTGATTTGTGGTAGAGTTCTGTTACTCTAGGCTTTTGGAGTGACATGGTTTTTCTTTACCAGTGATGGATGCATGCTTCATTTACTGGTGTGACAACTAATTGAGAAATCATTTTTTGGAGAAAGAATAACAATCTTTCTACCTATTATGTACTTGTATGGTGCATAGTTTATTTTTGGGATACTTTATCGTGGTATATTTTGCGCATCTATGATGGTGATGCATGCATACCGTGACATGGTGTGTTATGGAGAAAGAATAAGCCATCAAGATAGGCATGTGTTCTAACCAATGTGTCTCATTCGCATGCGTGAAGTATACATACTAATATACATGACATGTCACGTCAATACTAGATCTTGTAAAGTAATTATTTATTGCGTTTAGAAATTGTTGTGGTTTTGGATACACCCCATTTTCCTACCACCCCCCGGCAACATATTATCATATCTCACCCGAAAACCCACCCGTGTCCACCATCGGCCCAAATTGGAGGACAATCTAGTACTCTAGAGCTCAAATTAGTTGTCATGTTGCTTACTTTTACTTGCTATGTTAACAAAATGGGAGGCCTTATTTGGAAAGTACTAGCGGACTTGCCTTTTGATCTTGTGTCCAAGTCACTAGCATGTCCTTGTTGTTCCTGTCCATGCAAATCGAAAGATGAGTCTTTATGGTTTGTTCTTCCAATATCAAGAACTTGTTGATCCTTATGTCGTGTTTCTACATGTGTATGCTCAAGATATGAAACCTCTGAATTTGGAATATACATATTTTTAAGTTTGTATGGTTCTGGAAGAGCTTGGATTAGATCAAGCAAACCAGTGGACAGTTCAGTGTTGCTGAGCTCATATAGGTTATCATGATTTATGTTCTCATTTTCTTCATTAGTCATAGTGAAGGCCATCCCTGGCATGCTACTACTAGTTTCAGCAATAACGCGTTCCTCTTCAATTGAAATTTCAATGGATGATGATGATTAAGAAGAAACCATTGTAGATAGTAGCTTGCAATACTTTCTAGTTGGGTTCTTCTAGAACACCACTTCTTAGCACAAAGTGCATCATTCACTTCTAAGAATTTAACACACTTTACCAATTTGTAGTAGATTTCTATTACTCCATGGCCTTTTGGAGTGACATATTCTTTCTTTACTATTCTGATGGATGTGTACTTCATTTACTTCTTCATAAAAGGTGTGACAATTAAAGGGAGCAATTGCTTCATGATGCACTGTTTGCCAATTTAACAACCTTCCTACCCTGTGTACTTGAAAGGTTATTTTTAGGATATTGAGTCCTAATATATTTGATGCATATATGACAATGATGCATGCAAACCATGTGATGTAGTGCTATGAAGAAAGAAGAATAAGCCATAAAGATAGGCATGTGTTTTCATCAATGTGTTTCATACACGCACATGAAGTACACATCATACTCATATTCATGTCACGTCAATACTACATCTCGTAAAATAATTCTTTTTTGTGTTTGGAAGTTTTGGTGGTTTTGGATACACTCCATTTTCCTTAACATCCTCAGGCGCCATCTTCTCACATCTTACCCAAAAAACCATCTGTATCCATCCTATGCCTAAATTGGAGGACGATCTAGTACTGTCAAGTTCTTGTTTTCATCATTTAATTTATTTCTATTTTCTACATTAACCAAACTGATGGCTTTATGTGGTAGGGTACAAGGAGACTTGCCTTTTGATCTCGTGTCCAACTTAGTAGCATGTCCTTGTTGTTCATGTCCATGTAGATCAAAAGACAAGCATTTAAGGTTTTTTCTTCCATTACCAAGAACTTGTTGACCCATATGCCAAGTTCCTACCTGTGTCAACTCAAGATATGAAGCCTCTAAATTTGGAACATACGAAATGTTTAAGTCTGTAGGTTCTATAGGAGCATGCATTGATTTAGATCAAGCAAACCAGCGAAGAATGTGTTACTACTGATCTCATATTAATTATCATGATTTATGTTCTCATTTGCTTCGTTAGCCAGTGAAGGATTTCCCTGTCATGTGAGAACTACTACTTTTTGCAATAACACATATTCCTCTTCACTTTAAATTTCAATGAATGATGATGATGATTAAGAAGAAGCTATTGTAGATAGTAGCTTGCAGATACTCTATGGTTGGGTTCTTCTATGACACTGCTTCTTACTACCAAGTGCATCATTCACTTTTGAGAATTTAATAAATTTTATTGATTTTTGGTAGAGTTCTATTACTCCAGGGCCATTTATATTGCCAAAATAGTGATTATCATGATTTATGTATATTCTCATTTTCTTCATTAGCCATAGTGAAGGCCTTCTCTGGCATGCAATAACTACTTGTTTTGACAACAACGTGTTCCTCTTCACTTGAAATTTTAGTGGATGATGGTTAATAAGAAGCCATTGTAGCTAGTACCTTGCAAATACTTTCTAGCTGGGTTCTTTTGAAACACTGCTTCTTACTACCAAATGCATCATTCACTTCCGAGAATTTAACACACTTTAACGATTTGTGGTGGAGTTCTATTACTCTGGGGCCTTTTGGAGTGACATGTTTTTTCTTTACTAGTCTGATGGATGTGTACTTTGTTTACTTCTTCCCAAAAGGTGTGACAATTAAAGGAGTAATTGTTTCATGTCTCCCTTTATTTAAGATGCTTTCTGCCCTCTATGTACTTGAAAGGAGCATAATTTATTTTTGGATATTTTTCCATATATATTTGGCATATCTATGATGGTGATGCATGCAAACCATGAGATGTAGTGTGATGGAGAAAGAATAACCCATCAACATAGACATGTGTTTTGATTTGTGTACTTTTTCAAATGGGTTTTAAATTCATTTGAACCTTGAATCGTATACTCAAATTTAAATATCATTTAAATTATACTTACAATCCAATAGAGAAACTCTTTAAATTTTGTAAGTTTTCAAAAATAAATTTATACACCTTTTGGATTCTTTTTATTTTCTAATTCTTTTTCTTTCTCTTCTTTTACTTCAAAGCCATTTTCTTTTATTTGCAAAAAATTTGAACCATTTTAAATTTTTAATCAAAACATGTTGCTAAACCTTATGATGAATTTTAATTTAATGAAAATTTTCCATATTTCCTATATTTTATGAGCATAAAATTTATTTAAATTATTTTATACCTAGTTTTAAAAGAGATAAATTTTAGGGTGTTACATGGAGATCTGAATTTGAGGCCATCCCATTATCAATGAAAGCTTGTTGCTCCATTTTGGCGTATCTAGAATATCTAATACACCGAGCCACATGACGTCACCTACATTCAAGAAAACCCTAAAATCTAAGTGAATTTGGAACATGCGTGATTGTTTTAAGCACCATACTGTGAATACGCCATACGCTAGAAGAGCTTGATTCGTAGCATCACCGAGCACCGCGATGGCCAGCTAACAAAGATACCATTTCTGGAATGGTGGTTTGCCATTGAGCTCTCTCTCTATTTTATATAGTATTTAGGGTTTACACTTCATCAAATATCAAACTATAAGTTTATTAGATCATATGGCTAGTGATCCTGTAATTCAGTTGAAAATATATCTAGTGTTTCTATCAAAACCATCCTTGGCTTGGGTAGCAAACGCTGTGTGGCTGGCACCAATCCTTCCTCACAAATCCAGCAATCCCAGCATTACCCTGTGAATCGGTGTCAAGCAAACCATTTACATTAGGCACACCGTTCCGACATAAAGTCTTAGATGATCTCTGCAGCTCAGCCTCCAGACCGTGATGACCAGTGTCAGCAATTGGAGTGGAAACAACCTCAGCAGACGACTCCACCTGCATGACACTTGAACCAGCCTTATACTTTCCGTCCGAAAAGAGCAGGAGCCGTTTCTTCAATTTTAATTTTTATTTTCCTATATTTTATGTCCCTGGCAGCGGTTACGGAGGAATTTGAGGCGGCGCATTTTAGCCGGGAAATGGCGATGGCCGACACTAGCCTCCGCTTGGGCGGCGGGTATGTGGCCAAGCCCAGCCCTTTCCACCCAGCGTTGCCTTCCTTTCTCCTCCCATACCGAAAGTCGAGACACCTCTTGCCTCCCAATTCGGCGACTCCTTTCCTTGGTGAACTCGCATTTCATCTCGCACCACCCCTGGGTCCGCCTCCATGGCGTTGCCATGCCGCGATTCGCCTTCCCCACGCCGTTTAGCAAACCATTTACGTCTCGCCTCTCTTCTTGCGGAGGGCAAGGAGGCGGCGACAATTAAACACTGCCGAGCCAGGCCCTGGCAATTGCTTCCGCCGCAGTGTCAGACATGATGCCTCCCAATTGAGGTCAGCGCCAATTTAACCGCCGCTGGCCTTTTCTACAAGGAAGGAAGGCGGCGGCGGTCTATGTAAGTCCATCGAAAGCCCTACATGCTATCGCGCCGCTGCAAGTCCATCGATCGCCCCCGCCTGCGAACTGAGCACAAAACCACAACAAAACCCCACTAATCACTAATCAGCACAAAACCACAACGAAGACCCATTTTTCTGGCATATTTAACTTTTTACCATTATAACCAATAGCAACTCTTAATATAACACTCTTATTGCCACTATATTTTTAACAGTAAAGAGAGAAAAATACTATAAAAATATCACATTTACTCGCGAGGCACGTCAACCCTCACGCCGGTATGGATCCAACTCGGCGTGCGCCCGTGAAATATCCCTCCTGCCCTTCTTCCCACTCTCCCAGCGTGGGCCCACACTCGCCTCTTTTGGCTCCGCCTCAGGTTCGACACGGACGCGCTCGTCTCCTAGGTCCGCGTGGGTTCGCGGCCTCATGCGCCCCCGCCCTGGATGAGCTGGGGTGCTCCACGCTCGCACTGCCGGCGCCCTCCGCGGCCGCGGCCGTCTATGCGGTGGCGGAGCTGCTCGAGTCCGGCGGTGGCGGCGGGGACCTACGCGAGCGGGCCGTGGCCGCGCTGGCCACCCTCGCGTCATCCGACGCCGCACGGCCGTCCCTGATGCAGGAGTCGAGTGCCCCACGCCTGTGCCGCGGGCTCGAGTCCGGTGGTGCGGCCCCGACTGAGAACGCGTGCGCGGTGCTAGCTGCTCCCACTGACGACGACGTCGCGGGACGCGGCCGTGACCGTGGCCGCGTGTGGCCTACGCCAAGGTGCTCCAGAACCTCTCCGTGAGAGGCGAATGCGAGCCGCAAGAGCATCATGGCTGTGCCCACAGCCGCGTGAACGGCAGAGACAACATGCATGCGGGTAGCTTCATAGGGTGATGCCGCTGCGTGAGCGATCAATGGCGCTGAACTGATTCGTTATTCGTTTCCTGCTTTCTGGTACTTTGTGCCGTTGTTGATCCTTGGCGAGGGAGATTCGCAGTTGGAGTTTGGCCGTAGCGAAAGCCATCTATGCAAGCAAAATCCAGGGGCTGGAGCTGCCTGATTCTCTGGTTGGCCCGAAGAGCGTTGCGTTCGACGGCGTGGCACCGGTTCCTTTGTGAGCGTCAACGACGACCGTGTCCTCCTGTGGCACAGCACCGTCCGAGCAGGGGGCTCCGGTCGCTCGACTGGGGCTCTGCGACGGCGCGGCATGCCAGGAGGCAGGAGGCAGCGAACAGGGCCGCCGCGGGCATGCGAGCCTTGCCATCGCGACGGCGCGCGCGGGGGAGCTGAGATGGGGCCAGGCCATGACAACGAGGGGAGGCGCGGGCCGCTGGTGAGCCTCCTGGCAGTTGGTTGCGTCGCGCGCTGCGGACCGGCCTGGACCACGGGCCAAGCACAGCACGACAGCGCCGACGTCCACCACGCTGTCAAGGACCTGGACCACGGTCCAAGCACAGCTCGACACCGGGCGCGGCAAGGACGACCTCAGTGAAGAGGCCCCGGAGGACCTGCACGGTGGTGGCCGGGTTCCCGAG